GTATGTCCCCCGACCTGAACCCCACTCAATTACCTAGTTCGGGCGGACTTCAATAGGGTGGTCTACGGTGGCGGAGAAATCGACTATCTCGCTGATCTCAGGTACCACATCGCGGTCGCGTGCCAGAATCTCTCGATGGCGTTCGTCCAGAAGGCTGTGGCGGAGTGTCGTGATAGTACTTAATGTGCTCTTCAATATGGTAGTAAAAATGTCCGATCAGAATTTGATAAAGTGTAATTTATAGCGCCTCGAAAGTCAATGAGGCAAAGTGACTTTTTTTTTTGGCCACCCCTGTATATATATATATATATATATATATATATATATATATATATATATATATATATATATATATATATATATATATATATATATATATATATATATATATATATATATATATATATATATATATATATATATATATATATATATATATATATATATATATATATATATATATATATATTATCCTTCTATTCTATAAGCAGAAACTTTTGTGTGTCGGTTTGTCGTATGTATGTATGTAAGTAAGTAAGTATGTTTGTATGTCTGTCCGTCCGCAAAATGCTTCACGGGTTCGAGATCGCTGGAGGCGAAAACGACCGCTAGGCAAACGGACAAATCGGTGCGGCGGTATCAATCCAATGTTTTGATCGTGATATCGGCCTCCGCTATATAAGACAACCATTCGGTAAGCTCCGAGCCATTGCACGAGCTGCTGGCGTGGCAGCTGGACGTGTGCTCGTGCGGGGGCAGGGTGGGGTGGAGCCGAGGGAGGGGGGACGCCCAGTGCCACCCCCCCCCCCTCTGCTTCCTTCCCCTGCGCGTGCTCAGCCCGATCTGAGCATGCGCAAGGGAAGGAAGCAGAGGGGGAGTTTCCACTGGAACACTGGGGGTTTGTTCCAAGGTATGATATAGGTTACGGCACAGGGATATGTGGGTGACAGGAACTGCTAGCTGCTGATAAGGGGAGTTAGAGTGGAAAGGACAACATACTCATAACGCGGGACATAGCATCAGTTAGGCGTTGATTTCAGCAAATGGTATCAAGGAGAAGGTGGAGAAGGCGACGGCGGGTGACAGGAAATGATAACTGATAGGGTCTGATAGAAAACGATGCAGTTGTTGCTCAGTCAAATGCTGAAGCCTCTTCACCACGAAATTATGGAGTTTTAGTGATAGCGACATTGATGACGGGTGACAAGCAATTTATCAGCTGATAAGTAAAGATAAGGGGACATTTTCACGACATCTCTGACCATACACTGCCAAAAAAGCCTCTCATTAAGCGCAAAATTTTCCCACAGCCATCACTCCTTTGATAGCACTAAAAAATGTACTCATCCCACTAGGGGGGGGGTATATACTTCGCCTGAAACAGGAAGTTTGGAAAAATCAAAAACTTCAATATTGGAACACACTTTATGCGTTCAGTGAGTATTTAACTTCCTTTTTGCTTTTCAACTTTTAATCACTGATGAGAACGAACAACGAAGTAGTTTGTGAGATATTCACTAACGCAGCCTAAGTGTTGTCATCTGCAGCCATTCATGCAACCTTGGCAGGTGGATTGCATGTTAATGACAAGTTAATCGCCCAGCGTTGGTGTTTGTGGTGGCAGGGTAATAAAAACGGGATTTGTTCGTCTACTGTGCAACACATATTGATATTCTGTACTTCCTTTATACTTCTAAGATCTACGTATAGAATGGGCGTTATGGCCGAAACCAGCAGGCCTTTAGGAGGGGTGCAGATTTCGCTAGGTTACTCTGTCTATTATGATTCGACCACTAGCGCGCAATGTGAGCAGCTCAGGCAATTAACAAATTCCTTTCCGTGCGCCTGGCGAAGCCAGGACAGCTCGGCGAAGCCGAGCTGAAAAGAAGGAGGAGAGCTCGGCGTCAGCCGGGCGATCCGACTGGTATATATATATATATATATATATATATATATATATATATATATATATATATATATATATATATATATATACCATTTTCACTTTAAATTCACCCTTTTTCAAACCAAATTCACCCTTTTTCAAACCAAATTCACCCTTTTTCAAACCAAATTCACCCCTTTTCAAACCAAATTCACCCTCACTTTTCACATCAAATTAACCACACTTATTAGGGCGGGCAACTCATCAACCAGATCACGCCAGACATCACTGCGAGCCCGCCCCGACGGCCACGCCCACTTGTCAGCGCGGACATAGATTCTCAAATCTTGTTTCATAACTTCTGCTTTTGCTGTTTCCCACAAACACTTTGACTGGAAACGACCGGGCATTGACACATGGCCGACTCCGCCCATTCTCTAAAGGGTTTGGCAATCTAGGCTGACCACGCCCACTTGCTTTTCGCGGACTTTCGATATTTTTTCAAAATTTTTGCATTTTAGGGCTGCTGCGTGAAGCCCCGCCCACTGTGAGAGGCTCCGCCCACTTTGAAGAAGCCCCGCCCACTTTTCAAAAATGGTGCAATCGGCAGTATAGAGCCTTGGCTTGCATGCTAGGGTCTCGTTCGTCACTCGGAACAAGAAAATCAGGCAAACTTCATTCCGAATGATCAGTGAGTGTGAATTTGGTTTGAAAAAGGGTGTATTTGGTTTAAAAAAGGGTGAATTTAAAGTGAAAATGGTATATATACAGGAGGAGGGGGGCAACAAAAAAGACACTTGGCCGAGTCACATATCAGTAAAGTTTTCGCAGCCCAGAGAGAAGACGTGGATACGAGTACCAGGGCGGAAGATACCCAAGATGTTCCTCGATAAGCAGGAGCTGGCCCATCACCTTCATGTACACCAAAATATGAAGTCATCTCCAATCGCAGCCTGACTGGAGAAGGCCTATGGAATTCATGTCACCTCCAAACAGCTGCGAAACTTCTTGTATGGAGTCACCCATGGACAGCTACCTGGAGACCAGCACTCTTGATCTGGAAGACCTCCAACATCGAGCAGCTCCGACAACGTCGCTACGGTCCAGGATATCATCTTCACCGCAGTCGCCAAGGCGCGGGTTGATGGTATGGACCGGAAGTTCCTGGAATGGGAAGACCGATATTTTCTTCGTGGACCCGGACTGAAAGTGAACGCTGACGGTTACATCGACCAACTCGAGGAGAATATCCTGCCTTCATGTCGTCGCCTGTACCATCTTGGATCTGATACCGTACTGCTACAGGATTGGGTGTCAGCACGTGGACGAAGTCTTTTGGAAAAATTCTCTCCTGCTTGGAATCGAGGTCCTGAAGAACCTGAAGAAGACCGAATATTCAAGTGTGCTACCTGGCAGCTTTGATCCCGCATTCTTCTGTAATAATGCCACATATTTTCGAGGACGAGGTTTATCGAAGCTTTTTTGTAACGAGATTTTATGTTCAGGAAGGAGGAAGTTGCATATCAGTTCATAAAGCAAACTGGAAATTCAAGAAGAGTAAAAGGTTTTTGGTTTCTGCCATTCAGTACGCAACAATCATTGCGTACTGAATTCTCAAAATGTGGTGCATTTCCGAACTATAATCCTCCAAAGCTTTTTCCAGCAGAGAACTTGCTTATCACTCACTAGTGGACATGACACACAGGCATGTAGGAAATGGGCTCCCACACAAGCAAGAAAAGTTCAGTTTTTTGAGGGGTCGTGCAAGGCCCAAAGAAGCGGTCAAATGGTGAAATTTCTTGTTTGGCGGCGACACATGCGTACTGTTCCCAAGAAATTTATGAGTCTTCAAAAACATTGGAAGCTCCCAGAATATCAGCAGAAATCCTGTTTTCTTTCAGTTCTTCTCAGTGTAAGTGGAAATCTGGAGAACACTGTATACATAATCAAAGGGGTTTACACAATCTGAAGATACTTTCCAAATCATCCCATAATCGGCTTTCAGTTATTTTCGGCATATGGACGTAGTATGCTGCTGTATGAACCTGTAGCTCTCCGAGATTGAGACGTTTATTAGACTAATGTTTCGGCGAAAATCGCCTTCTTCGGAGTCCTGTAAAGTCGAAAGCACATTATCGAGACACTTCACCCAAAAACCAACATCACTTACAAAAGAAAGTCAAGGGTAGGGAATCAGGGAACGAAATCGTAACAGACCTACAACTAACCTCTTACTGATGTGAAGCTCTACCGGCACTCTGAGCCTGAGAGCCTGGACGGTGCTTTTATATGGAACTGAGCTCACTCAGTGTTCCTCGGGTCAAAGGGATTTAGGGGCCATATGCCACTGTGAACATTGGGTCAAAGGGAAGGTAAAAATTTCGAAACTGAACAGGCCGTTTCAATCGCCGCCAGGAATAAAGGGCCAGAAGGGGACATTTATACTTGTGAAGACCGGATCAACCGCTGGGAGGTGGTGATAGGCTCAAAAGGGACAGTTTCAAAAATTTTTACTGTAAAGGCTGGGTCGGACAGCTGTAAGCCTTCCCGGATTGGTCATGTAGATCAAACTCCCAAATACAGCCGGAATATGCGGGTCATTGTCGATCGCATGGTCATCGATTTTAGGGGGCTTCAACCGAGACCCCCCCCCGTTGGCGCCTCCACGGGGGTATGGATTGCGTAGGTCAAAGGGCGCAAAGCTCAGCGAAGGGTGCGAGCTCCCTAGTAATGGCTATGCGTTCATCCTTCCTGCTGATCTTAGAATTCCTAGCACTGCTCAAGGCTTCTGTCCTTCGAGCTGAGATGTCCTATTACGTGCTAGGATCGTGACTTTCACCACGATCCCCTCATCTCGGTGTTTTTGAGCCTTGCGATATACAACAGTCCAAAGCCTAATTGGCAACAACTTCCTGAGCTACAATAATGCTCTTAAGTGAGACGATACATTCTGCTTTAGCAGCACGGTCTACAAGCGGAAACGAGGCTTAGCAATATGCAGTCGTATAGCACCGGTGTTAGCGGAGCGCATCGTCAAGTCATCATCGTCGAGTGGAATCCTGTTCTACAAACGCTACATTGATCACGTGTTTGTATTGGGGAAAACGGAAGAAGATGTCGTGGAAATCTTGGGTAGGCTGAACTCACATTATAGGAACATAAGGTTCACCAGAGAAGCTTCAGGAAGGGATGACTTCTTCTCGTTCTTCATTACCAAAGTTCGGATAGGTGAACGACGCAAGGAATACCTGTGGACTAACAAGGAAAGGATGGTTGGTCGAAGTGGCCATTTAAGACAAGATGCATACTCACTGATGCGTCTTCGGACGCTGATTTCAAATCTGCTTTCCATATCTGCTAAACGATTCTCTGAGCAGAGATATGCAGGAGGTTGTTGTACGGAGCACAATTGAGCTTGGTACACAAATGAGACGTGAGTCGTCACACGAAGTGCATCGGTGGCCTAGTGGGTAGTGTGCCGCGCTCAAGTATGCGAGGTGAGAGGTTCGAATCCCTACATGAGTTCGTCATTTTGCATTTTCTCAAAAATGCCTCCTGCACATCCGGAAAGCACTTCTGCGAGGCTAGGAGACCTGATTCTACCAAAAAATTTTATTTCTGATGTGATAGAGCCATTCTGGAACACTCCTAGTGGGAACTCCTGATTGTTGGTTTCGGCGGCATTATTCGTTCCGTCGTGTTGTGAGGCCAAACTGATTCCAGATGGCATGGAAGCCAAAAGTGGATGTCGTGGTTGTTATCAGGACCGTCAGTAACCAACAAGGACTAAGATTTAGCGAGGAACCTCCACTGCTCACAGAGATTTGAATCGGCGATAGTGCCAGCAACCTTTAGGAATTGGCTGCCTATGGTTACCCCACTGTATCGAAAATAGGTCGAAATCTCAAATTTGGTTGAAAACTTGTCTCTAGGGCTAATTTGAGCCCCAGAGCACGAATATCACACTCGTTCGGCGTAAAAACGCTTGCCAAGGACGTTGCAGGTTCCTGCACACCCTGCCCCTCCAGAATGCGTACAAGACGTTTTCACGAAATATAACTGCAGTGTTGATTTCCAGGGCACTGAAGCACCTCTAATTTCAGATTCCAGCCAATTTGGGCAATTTGGAGCACCTCATATACATGCTGGAAATGGGTGTGACCTGGTCAAAAATCCTGCATAACTTTGTCCAGGAAATCGTTTAGCAGATATGGAGGGCAGATTTGTAATCAGCGTCCAAGGGCCCATCGGGCAGTATACGTCTCATTTCGAATGGCCACTTCGACCAACCATCCTTTCCTTGTAAGAAAGGCGCCTCCTCGATTACACTAAAGCATTCCAGAAATACCGACCCAATTTATATGGAGACAAATGTCGCGCGGAATCTTGTTAAAACGAATGACAAGCTTGGGAAGCGGAGGGATTCAGATGTGGACGCTGAACTCAAAAACGTCCTTGAAAGCAAAGGACATCTTGATGTACATTTCAGAATCTGATCTCCACACTAATCAAAAGATGAAATAACCTAATGATGCCTTCTGTTAACCATAAAATGGCATGGTAAGTGGATCGTGTCACGGTCCCAAGTTCCCATTCAGCTCGCTTTCCATTCCACCTCCAACGTCCTTGAGGTCATTTGAAAGCCGGGGTCACGAACATTCTTGTCGATAATGTGCATCCGAAATGATTTGTGAACTTCGAATGCCTCGTTTACCTGGTTCAACGCCGAGGATGTGGGGGATAAGCACGTCGGGGAGACCGCTCACATTTTGAAGGTAAAGGAAAATAGTGGTAGCGCATGAGCCACATCGCTTTAACCCAGACATCAGTGCGAAAGAGGAGTACGTGACCTCATAAGGCTCCTCGCCTAATCTAATCGCCTAACCTCCCATTTGCCTCAGTGTTATGTCAGCACAAGTCACTTTATGATCCCGTAACCCCCTCCCCCCCATTAGGTCCGCTCCCACTCATCACTGGTATGTAAGGATCCGAATATATTGCTTGTTGTACCTGTTAGATGCTTATGAATTGTAAGCGAAGACTTGGCGAAGGAATTATATGCTGAAATTCCGCCAGTGAAAGTGTTCACTAAGTCAAGGGCTTAGAATACACACCTGGAGGCGATTTGTTGAAAGTTCAAGCTTTCAGTAGATCTTCCACATACGAATGGTATGCAAATTATTAAAGTAGCATCAGTGGCAGAGTTTCAAGACGAAAGTTTCAAAGTTTTTCTACGAATTGCTGGGATAACATTATTGGGGTCCTCCGTGTAAGATCTAGTCATTTCTAGATGCACAATCTTCGGATTATATGCTTGCTTGTAGTGGTGGGTGCGTGCTCGCTGTGACCGCATAAGTGTTTTCTGCCGACATTCGTATGTCATCGCCTGTTTTTCATCCCATTCCTCTCACACCACCTCGTTGGGCTAGTTCATGTTCAGTCGGCATTTGCATATTTCGGCAAGCTTGAAGGAACCCTTCTAGTGGGATTTTACAGAGCTGTTTCAGAGTTCCTGATCCTTCTTCCTATCTACCTATCTTACTCTGCCTCACTTCTCTCTAACTGTCTATCTATAGGTGCGAAGCCGCAACTGCTGGAGCGATTACGTCCATTCGAAAAGGCCATATTGGGCGTATCGCCACCTCTGACACCAGAACCGGTGCAGTTCACCAACAGCGGCATCAACAGCAGTACGGCAGTAAGCTCTATGCAAGAAGTTCATCAACAGCAGCCTGTACAAGAGGTCGTCCATGGCACCGTCATGCAGACTCCGCCAGTTGGTGAGGACCCTTGATAATGCGAGCCGTTCCAGTGTCTAACATCTCGTGCTTTGTAGTCCATTGTCAACAGCAGACTTCACTACAGGTTCAACAGCAATCCGCCGAACAAGTGAGGTAAGGGCCACATCGTTTGGAGTAGTGATCGAATTCGGACTCCCCCATAAGGCAGCGTTCAGACTTTGCGATAGCATCGATCGCGCATACTTTCGTGATCGACGCAGTGTGAATCGAACGCGCAACCGAAGCCCTGCCGTCGCGGAGTCTGAACGAAGCCTAACTGTCGTTGTAATCCGCTTTTGAATTGTGAAAACAGTCGGATTGAAATTTTTTTTCAGAAACACCGTCGGAATTCATGACTACCTCGGACGTCCCTTCGTTTTGCAGCTGCCTCCTCAGCTTGTGCAAGTGTGCTTTTCTTACATTTTCATTTGTGATAAGATATCCAGAATCGAAATGGGATTCTACCCAGAGTTAACAATGACTGCTCCAACACTTCCTTGAAAAACGTGTCCATAAAGCATTAAAAACCGGGGCAAAAGACTTGCAGTGAACTCTCTATGACATATGAGCATTTCTCCTATATCACTGCTTCATGACCTAATCTCCATTTATTTGTCAGTTGGGGTGGTAATCTATAATACGTATACGTACAATCTATGTCTCGGAGTTGGTGGGGGCATGGCTGCGTACTTCGTTCTAGTATGGCCAAGGCTTTTTTCGTCATATTCGGATGTTTTATTTCGGAGCGACTGCCATGTTGTCTAGCACTGGACGGAGACATTTTCAATTGACTCCCAAACAGCAAGATTCCATCAAAACGCAGCAGCCGCCATGTACAACTGAAGTGCGCAGCTGCACTCACTCCACCACACTCATATGGATTGTATGCAGGAGGAAGACGTGCGTCTGTTGTCTTTTCACTAACCGTTGGCGGACTTTATTCTCTTGAAACGTCTGTGTTTTGCTTGGCCTCGCTTCTTGATGTGGTGGAATGCATAGCTGTCGTAGCTGACAATATAAAGAGCAATGCTCATAGTAGACACATCCCACATTATCTGATACAGAGCGCTTTCCTTACACAAGTGGTCTGGTCTACTTTACTAGAGGATGTCACATTCGTGACTTTAGTGGGTGACAATGACGCTGCGGCCGTCACACCAGACCCATGGAAATTTTCTCACCCGGGTCAGCATGAGATATGTTATTGACGCTCTATATTTATGTACACATCTGTGACAGTTGCGTCCATTCTGTGTTTGACCAACTTAGACGTCTCGCTCTCTTCCAGCTCGTATCACTGTACTGTTATCTGTCTCCATTTGTGTTGCCCATGCACCAGTATCTTCCTTCTTCGATCCTCATCCAAGTTTGAGGCCTCGCTGATGCAGTTCGGCTTGGGTGCAGTGGGAAGGGGGACGAGGCGAGAGGAGGCGCGAGGTTTTTGCTTGTTGAACCTACCTGGCAATATGAAATGACAACAGCTTTATCCTTATACATTATATGAGGCGATTGACTGCAATCAGAATCCTCCCTGTAAAGACAAAAAAACCCGTGATCTGCTAGAAAGAATAGAACTGTTCATTGGATATCGATGCAGCCTTAGGACGGGGGTTCAATATGGAGAAATGCAGAGCGACAGTGTATTTGTTTCAA